GCTTGCAGTTCTGTGGGAGAACGTCATCAATACACTGCGCAGCTTCGACAAAACATGCGAGCTCACCATCCGCGGCAACCTGGAAGAGGAGCATTTGACAGCACTCTCCACCGTGCTAATGAAGATCAGTGAGCTTGCTCGCATTTCTGATTGCACAGAAATCCTCGAAACCGAAGGCCGTGCCGCTGACTCAATGTCATCCGCCATTGAAATCCTGGTCAACATTGTTCGTCGGGGCACATTCAACGAGCCCAGCGAAGTCGACGACTTGGAAGACGAGGTCACATCCTTTGCAATCAAGGGAATCCAGTTCTACTTCATGTGGAAGGTGCGAAGCTTCCAGAAGTTCATCCAAAGCGGAGCCGAAACCCCTGATTCTGTCGTGGACCAAACCGTCGTCCTGCGCAGGAAGTATGACACGGGCCTCATCAAGACTTTGTCGTCACGAGCTATCATCGATGAGATTCGCATTTTTGCGACTGGCGCTCTTTGCGACATTCACGTCCTCTTTGGTTCCTTGCGAAACTGGACAGAAGAGTCCCGCGGGAACGCCAACTACAAGAAGTTCGCGAGGCTCACACATGAACTCGAGCCCAAGCTCTTGCCTGAACTTATCTCCATCTACGACGGCGTCGAGCGGAGCTTTGCCAAGCGTACAAAGAAGATCCTCAACGAGCCGGCCGAAGACGAAGAACCCATGGATGACGACGACTCTGACGAGGAAGAGGATGAAGATGAGGGACTAACTCAAGAGGAGAAGCTTGCCATTGAGCTCAAATCCGAAAAGGCCCTTTGCGAGCTGGCTGCCAAGTTTGTGCTCGCCATAGTTCAAAAGGTCCTGGATCAAACAGGGCCTCACGCCGGCACGCTTCGCAAGCGTCTCCTCCGAAACCAGGGCAGGCTCGGCAAGAACTTTGCTGAAGTAGTCGCTTACCTCGACCCGTCCAAGGTCCGGGAGCACCTGTACGGCAAGAAGCAGGCGCAAAAAGCGAAGACGTCGGCCAAATCGACCGCAGCGAAGCCCGCCCGGAGCGAAGAGATCGTTGTCGACGATGACGATGATAACGAGGAGGAAGACGTTTTCGAAGAACCCGAGCCTGAGCCGGAAGAGGGCACCAAGGAAGATCTCCGGCGACGAGAATTGCTGGAGGAAGAGGAAGAAGAGGAGCCCGACGTAGAGGAGGCTCCTGCCAATAATAATGATGCAGACGACGACGATGTATTGGGCGACTGAACGGTGTTTGATCCGTCAACTTTGAGCCGCCGGAGGGCAAACACAAAAGCACGGTTCGGTTGTCCTTTGCTCTGTTCATATGATGATGGTTCTGGCTTCGAGACCGTTTCCATCCCTTGTGTGGTGTGTTTGTGCGCTGGCGTAGGATTGCTTGCTTACAGAACACCTTTACATATCATTTCTGCTCGGACTGGATGGTAATGCCGGACGGTGACGGCGAATTGAGAGCGCCGGCGTGTAGATGGCTCGTTTGACCAATGGCGTTAGAAAGGGTTCAAAAGACAATTAGCTCTTGTGATAGCTAACACGACGCAACTTCTGATAGTATTCCCAGCGGTGCGAACCCGCAGTCGCGCTTATGACGGCCTTGCCCCCGCCTACTCAAATAGTATCATGAACTCGTACCCCATGCCAAAGCTTGGGGGAGGACTCTTGCTTCCCTGCATTTACTTGTTGTAGCAAATCTTGGTTCCGAAAAGTCCAAACATCCTCTTCCATCGCCTCCCTTCACCTGCATTTGCCTTGTCTGGATTCGACTCCTTGACCTGGATGCCATATTGGTGGATGCAGCACGTGAAAGGCCGGTTCGAAATAGTCTCAGCAGCCTTCTTCTTCAACGGCCCGCTGAGTGCCTCGTTATCGGAACTGTCCGGTGGCCGGTCACCCGTCATCTTCTTTCCCACATTAGCTTTCTGCTTCTTGCGCTGGTTTGCTAGTTCCTTGGACTTCTTCTCCTCGAGATCTCCCCAGAGAATGAACATCCTCTCCCGCAGCTGCGCCAGCTTCTCGGGGCTCGCGCGGAGGTCACAGGCGTCCATGTCCGTCAGAAGCTGCGCGTCCAAATTACCCACCACGACCCACAAGCTATCACCTTTCCTGCTTTCGGAGTTCTTGGGCACAGTTGCGACGCCCTCGAGATGCAGAGCGAAGCGCCATTCCCATTTCCGGTCGCCTTTGCTTGCGAAACCATTGAGTGTGCCTTGTTCTTCTTCTTTTTCTTCCTCCGACTCCGATTCTTCGCCAGAGTAGTCGGAGAGCGCTTCGTACTCTGATCGTTGCTTGCGGGCGCGGGCAAAGTCCTGAAGCCTTTTCGGGTAAAAGTCGACTACGCGGACGTTGGTGCGGTACCTGGCGCAGTTGAAGGGAAGGTCGAAGGAAAGGGGAGCGCCTTGGTAAGTCGTCTCATATTTTACTGGCTCCAGAAGGTCCGACACAGGTATTATCGGTTGTTCGGGATGTTCTGCAATGACCTGCGTGTTGAGACCGGCGTCTACAGGAGCCACGTCCTGTTTTGCCTTTCCGTCGACGTGGGCCCTTTGTGCAGCGCGTTTCTGCTTTGAATTCAGAGACTTGCCCTCCGCTTGGCCCGGCGCCGGCCGCTTCTTGCTTTTTGTCTGTGTCGATTGCAGGTCTTTGCGCAGTGCCTTCTCCTCTTTTTCGTAATCCCTCTTCCTTCTGAGGGCATTTTTCAAGCTCGGGGAGATGTACTCGGGACCCTCGGAAAGATCGAGAACGTCGACAGAGATTTTCTTGTTGCGAAAAGCGTTCCGGTCTTCACGGAGGTAACCCTCGAGGTTCGCGCCGTTTGAACCGTACTTGAACTGGACGTTAAGTAGATGGACCCATGAACCATTCTTGACTCTGTCTCTGATGACAGTTGCATGCGGCTCATAGCAAGTGACCTGAAGGGTCCTCTTGCCAAAAGGTCCGTTCCAGATTGACGATGTGCTGTCTTTGGTGGTTATGTAACCGTAGGGGTCGCCGTCCCTGGAACTCCCGCCGGTCTGGCCAGTTCTCATGTGGTTAAAGAAACCTGAGTTCTCGGTATAGTCTGAAACATAGAGCCGAATTTTGTCGCCATAGTCATAGCATTCTTGGACAACTTGCGCAATGATGTCATGAAAAGTACCATCTTTGGCATCTTTGAGTTCACAAAACTTGTTCTTGACATTGAGTGACTGTATCGTCTGTATTTCGAACTGTTCAGGATCGGGAATATAGTCCTTGTTGACATGATGAAAGAGCCAGGACACATATTGCTCGGCTTTGGGAGCCGGGGGGTGATTGGAATCAGACCGTGAGAACCTCAAGGGGCAGGATGCAGGCTGCGCGGGGCTGGGAGGGATCTTGGCCGCCGGGTATGCATGGACGGCTGTAGTGAAGTTTGTTATGAGAGACAACGGCTCGCTGCGATGTCGCTGGTACTGACAGAGGTCTGTCAGTGCAACTGATATCATCTTAAAGAGTACTGACATAGCTTACTTTCGCTTTGTAGACGACGACGATATCCCTTGCCCCAACATTGGGCATGCACTCTTTGGGTCTGAAGAAGTTGAATGCTATGTCCCTACCCTCGCTTGAGGTTGAGAAGTCGGTAAGTCGTATTGTAGCTTTCCAGTCTGGAAAAGGTCAGTGACCACGCCAGGCCAGTCCGGCGCCCTGGGGTTTTGCATCGTACCTTTCCCTCTGGTGGCGATGGGTTTTTGAAAGTCAACAACTACGCCAATAACATTGACGAACTCTCCCTGTGTCCCCTTCCCATCCAACAGATCTGTGATACCCTTGAAGCCGGGAGGAAGATCCAGGGTTGTTTCAGAATCAGACTCAGGCACTGCCATGGTGGACTGGGATAGCTAGATGTGTAAGTGTAGGTCGGAACATGTGCCCACGAGGATGTCAAAGACGCGCTTGAATGTCTGGCTCAGCAAATTGACAGTGCAGGAAAAAAAAAGAAAAAAAAAAACCTGCCGAAAGTGATTTTAAAAGAAGGCCGTTTGCCAGTCATTCAACAGTTGTCAGAGATCCTATACTCGGTGCTCTTGGCTTGGATCGCTCTGTAACCAGGTTGGCGACGCGTGTCTACTGGTTTGGGGACGCGTTGGTTTTCTCCACCATGAATGGTATGTATGGAATGTGTGTCACCTGGCGGGTTTGCTCGTGGGAGGGGAGCATTTGCTTTGGTCCAAAAAAGCACACTGTCGGCATGTGCACAGACATTTTTGAATGGGGAAGACATAGGCAGTATCACAACTGTTGTCAGTGCTGAGACCGACACCTGGCAGCTGCTGTCAAAAGGAAGGCCCGTGAAAGAAAAGCAGACCAGAAGCCTGGGATTTCGAACATGAAATCAAAGAGCAGCTCGCTGAGAGGTACCTTGTTAGCGGCCCATGACATAATCCCCTGGGAAACCAGGCCAAACACAGCTTGGCTGGCTTAAAAGCCATGGTGGGGCGGCAGTCTCTGGTGAGAGTATCCGTTCTTGATCCTTTATTGAATTAAGCCATCTTGCCACGACTCGTCTATTGAATGGCAGCAGTAGACCAACCGACAAAATGAGGTGTCTAACTCGTTCGTATAAAGGTAAAATAACTTGCTGAGTCCTAATTCCAAACAGGAGCAGTGCAAAAAAGCGAACAAAAAACGTTCGCTTGCGGCCATTGCCTCGTATGCACCTATCAAGGATAAGATCGTAACTGGTACCTCCTGCTGGACGGAACCACAAGGCAGCACGCAAGTCATCAGTACTCATTGTCCCCCCCCCTTGGGCTCTTGGAAGGGCCCTGCACTTTTCCATTTCTTCGACCCGCTCTCTCTCCCACTCCTCCCCGACTTTCCATTCATCTTCCCCCCCATCCATCACCATAAAATTCCCACCCCTCCGTCTGCAACAACTTTTCCACCAAGCGATCTGGCACCCGGATCAGGATCTTTTTTGTGTTGACATCGCGCAACTCTACCTTCCTTTCACTACTGCGCAATACGATCCAGGAAGCATCTCTCGATAGAGACGCTTCTTTGCTTGACGCTTTTCCAAATCGGTCACCACCAAAACATTACCCTTTTCCCCTCCTTCCCCTGAAGGACGGCTAGAAAACACTGTCTAGCAATATCAACCGACACGACAGCAAACATGGCTGATCGTTACATTCCCGAGCATCGCCGCACCAACTTCAAGGCGAAGAGCACCTTCAAGCCTGAGGAGCTTCGCCGCCGCAGAGAGGAGCAACAGGTCGAGATCCGCAAGGCGAAGAGAGAGGAGAACCTGGCCAAGCGCCGCGGTATTGGTACGGGCGAGAACAGACCTGGTGCTTCCCTTGGGGCCGCTCCGGACAGCGACGATGATACCGCTCCTACTGAGTCCCAGGTGAGTTTTGCTTCCTCTATGCGCCGTCGCCGACCCCAGCTTGCCTTTGTCGGAACCCCGCCAATACTGCTGCGCCCACCCTTCGTTTATTCCCCCTCCTCCTGTTGCTATGGCGCCTTGCCGCTGCCCCACTTCCCTTTTTCTGCGCGAGTCGGCGCAGCCCTTTCCTCAAGCTCGAGCAGCCCCGACTACTCCATCCGTCGCAACTGTTTGCTGTTAAGATAGAAATGCTGACTAGCCGTAGCTCAACGAGGACCTCCCCCAGATGGTCCAAGGTGTCTTCTCGGAGCAGATCGATCTCCAGATCCAAGCAACTACCAAGTTCCGGAAGCTGTTGTCCAAGGAGCGCAACCCTCCCATCGAGGAGGTCATCAAGACTGGTGTTGTCAGCCGTTTCGTCGAGTTCCTGCGATCTCCCCATACTCTCGTCCAGTTCGAGGCTGCCTGGGCGTTGACCAACATCGCTTCCGGCTCCGCCACGCAAACTCAGGTTGTTATCGAGGCCGGTGCGGTCCCCATTTTCGTCGAGCTTTTGGCCAGCCCTGAGCCCGATGTGCGGGAGCAGGCTGTCTGGGCCTTGGGTAACATTGCTGGTGACAGCCCTCATTGCCGTGACTATGTCCTCAGCTGCGGCGCCCTGAAGCCTCTCCTGGCTCTTCTCGGCGACAGCCGGAAGCTCAGCATGCTGCGCAACGCCACGTGGACCCTCAGCAATTTCTGTAGAGGCAAGACCCCTCAGCCCGATTGGAACACCGTAAGCCCGCCTCTCCAATCACTTGATTACCACCGCCATCTAACAACGTCTGCAGATTGCGCCCGCGCTCCCCGTGCTTTCCAAGCTTGTCTACTCTCTGGATGACGAGGTACTCATTGACGCCTGCTGGGCCATCTCTTACCTTTCCGACGGGTCCAACGACAAGATTCAGGCTGTTATCGAGGCAGGCATTCCCCGTCGCCTGGTCGAGCTTCTCATGCACGCCTCCACTTCGGTTCAGACGCCTGCTCTTCGTTCCGTCGGTAACATTGTCACCGGTGACGACGTCCAGACTCAGGTGATCATCAACTGCGGTGCCCTGCCCTGCCTCCTTTCGCTCCTCAGCTCCAACAAGGACGGCATTCGTAAGGAGGCCTGCTGGACGATTTCCAACGTCACCGCTGGCAACTCGGCCCAGATTCAATCGGTCATCGATGCCAACATCATCCCGCCTCTCATTCACCTCCTCTCCAACGGCGACCTGAAGACTCGCAAGGAGGCTTGCTGGGCCATCAGCAACGCCACCTCGGGTGGTTTGCAGAAGCCTGAGCAGATCCGCTACCTTGTTTCTCAGGGCTGCATCAAGCCTCTGTGCGATCTCCTGGCTTGCCCCGACAACAAGATCATCCAGGTTGCTTTGGATGGCTTGGAAAACATTCTCAAGGTTGGCGATCTCGATAAGCAGGCCGCCGGCGAGGGCCCCGACTCCATCAACCGTTACGCCTTGTTCATCGAGGAGTGCGGTGGCATGGAGAAGATCCACGAATGCCAGACCAACGCCAACGAGGAGATTTACATGAAGGCTTATAACATCATTGAGAAGTACTTCTCGGATGAGGAGGAGAACGCGGACGAAGGTATGGCCCAGGGTACCGGCCCCAACGGTACCTTCGGGTTCGGCACCAACGCGGCTCCCCAACAGGGTGGCTTCAGCTTCGCCAACGGCGGTGACTCGATGGACATGTAAAATTACCAAATTGTCAGCGACCCTCGATGTGCTTTTTGCTGATGCAGCAACTTGCCGACATTGGATCAAACCCTGAAACAGCCCCTCCATTTACCCCTTAGCACCAACCGTCACTCACCCCCCTTCTGTCAGCGAAGCATTGCGTATCTTGCTGAGCTGACAGATACACAACATCCCCCACACATACACACATCACGTGCAATCGGCGTTCTCTAATATGGCTTGATGGAAATGATTGGAAGACATTCCCGATTGGGAGACGACAGGTCCTTTGGTAGCTTCAAAGCTCCAGCCTGGGAGATAGGAAGAGAGAAGAACGCTGGTATGGGCCGAAGGACAGGACTAGCAGACACGGGCGACGGACTTGCGGCTTCACAGCTACAGGTCAGGGTCTGGCTGGCCAACAACACCGCATGTGGCCATTGAGGGTTGAACTACCCCAAACGGAAACGGGAGACTTGGCATGGTGCCCATCGCCTTGTCATGGTTGCAGCGGCTGTGCAGGAGACGGGTCGATTGATGCTAGTGCATCTCGACTCGCAAGATGGAACTGGGCTACACAGCTTTTGCTGCCGGAACCAAGTGGTATCTGGCTTCGCAGCGTTCACAGCCAACGTTCCACAATATGTGGAAAGCAGTGTCAAGTTGAATGAACAGTAAAAGCAAGATTGTACAAGTACTCTCATCGTGACTTTGGTCCCCGATTTTCGTCAATGCGAGAATGTCCATGAGATACCTCTACGTATAAAGTTCGACGTGATGTGTGCTGGGCTGGGTTCCCTCGGAACAAGCTGGCCAGCATCAATATGCCTATGTAAGAGAAGTTATGACATTTCGTGGAAAGTGCTCGGTGCTCGGCTGCTGTATCCGTAGTGTGACGCCAATAGATGATGATGGCCCGTGCTTTGCTGACATTCCTAGCGGCCAGACACCCCCCAAAACAAGGTCTTGAAATGCCTTGGTAAAACCCCTAAACTTGCACCCCTCCACTACCTATGGTGGATAGGCTTAGGGAAGTGCAACAAGCAAGTGCAGATGCAAATGCAAGGCTGTTGATGCTGCCGGCCGTGTTTGCGCTCAGCCTTCCCTACCACACCACGAGAGCTCAGCAAAGGACAATAATTGTTGTATGGGATTATACTTTACACCCATTTGCAGAGAGCATGCTTGCCCGCCCAATCGAGGCGACATTAACTAGCCAGGCTTGATGCGCCCTTGGTCGACAGCAGCAACATCCGCCGAAAACATCGTCAGCCCGAAGTCGTAAGACAGTATCATGGATGGTCGTGTAGTACGAGGCGTCCAGCGCGCAGCGCTTGAGCAATGGTCCGAATTCATAGCCAAGAGTCTTTCTCATCGCATAGATCCGGAAAAGTTCGAGTCATACGTGCCTTTCCTTCAGATCAAGCACCCGTTGCCGCCCGTCGCCGTTGCCGACCTCTTCCTCCGACCTCAGCCTCACAACCACGAGAGCCTCGACCCTCGAGTGCCGCGCTACCTACAAGTCCTCTCCGACCTGAACTACATCGACGCGGCTTCGATTCTAAAATCCCTGTATAGATACTCTACATCTCGCGCGCACTCTCGAGACGCTGCACAGCCGGTCATTGGCGAGGCGCAACGGCCAAACTTGCCGCAATGGGGGAGCTCGTATGCGGCAGAAGAGGTCATGTTTTATCGACTTACGAAGTCCGTAGCCCAGGGGACAGCGATTCAGAACACAGGAACAGGCCTTGAGATAGCAAGCATCATGGCTAAGTGGATTGCGCTCTTTACGGATGCTGCGACGGCCTTCACTGTCGACGTCATGGGCCAGCTTCACAACAGTCAAGTGAGAGAAGAGATGGAATCAGCACGCGCCGCGTTCGTGGCTCTTCTTTTGGGTGTCTGCGAAAATCAAGTTGTTCTGAAGGCTTTGAGTAAACCCGAAGCTCAAGGTAGGCGCTCATACTAGGTCATGTTTGGAACTACCCGCTGACTTGACAAGGCACCAGAAAAGCCCTATCCGAGAGCCTCGCGAACTTTGTACCGACCATAATGCAGAGTGCTGGTCCGATTGCGACGCGCCTCGATATGTTCCGAACGAGCACGTTAGCAGGCTTCGAGCCCGTCGACGAACAGAAGAGCAAATCAAATGCCGAGATCGAAGACCTCTTCGACTCAACGGTGGCGCTGGACAACTTTGTGATTTCCGAGCTGCCCATTGTCAACTCAAGAGCCGGTCTATACATATACCTGAATGCTGCGGTTCGTTTGCCATGACTGTCGATGATATGAGAGATGCTGACAAGGCGTGGGACAGCTTGTTGGGCGGCCATTGGTTGATGACCTTGCTATATTCAACTACTTGAACAACCGATATCAGGTAGGTACTCTATTTGTTCTTTATGCAGGAATGTCTCTGATACTCTCAGGGCGATGTGCAATCAACAACGGTTGACCTTATCCTCGCCTCCTTTGACGTGTTGGCCAATGCCGCCTCGCGGAACGAAGGCAACCAGGCCGCTCATCTCTTACGCTCGTTTCTGATGAACAAGCTACCCATCCTTATCGAAAGCCTGAGCAAGCACATGTACGGGCCAGTCAATGCCGAGTATTGTATCACAGAAGCCCTTGGCCGTGTTGACACGACAACGTTCCCTACGCTATCGTCAATGTTCGATGAGACTAGGAGTAACAACCCCTTCACAGACTCTGTGCGAGAAGAGTTCTGTTGGGCATGCTGTTTACATGGCCTGGTACGAGAAAGCAGCATCGAGACTCTTCTCGGAGAGACCCCCTATCAGTCACTTCCTGCTGGCGGCAGGTATATCAAGGAAAACCTGGTTGCAGAGTGTCTGGCAGACCCGGAACGAATGCAGGCTCTGATTGGCGAACTGGACAACAAGGATGGAAACGCTGGCGCCGTATGTCAGGCTTTGACGGAGGTATGCGTTCCATCTGCCGCCTGTAACCGTACCTCATGCTGACCACACTCATAGGTAATGGGACAACTCTGTAGGAACAAGGAGACGATGTCTCTGAAGCTTCTGTGCAGCCAACTCGCTCAGAAGCCGTTGTCTCTGGACGTCATGTTGATGTTTGAGAAGCCTGGGACTATCCTTCATCCGCTGTGCGACCTTCTGGACAACTGGAAGTATGAGGAGGATCAAGGAGAGTACCAGCCCGTATACGAAGAGTTCGGTTCAATATTGCTCCTAGTCATGGCTTTTGCGTATCGCTATGGCCTGTCAGCGTCAGACATGGGCGTCGCATCCCCCGATTCGTTTGTTTTGAAGCTTCTCGGCCAGGGTCACCAAAGTCGCCCGTTTGATGAGCTGTCAGACCAAGAAAAGGGGCATCTGAACGGATGGATTCACGGTCTTTTCGATTCTGAGGCTGGTGGGTTGGGTGATGAATTGATGTCATCTTGCCCGCCGCAAGATTTCTACCTGCTGGTATCAACACTGTTCCAGAACATTGTTCTTGCCTTCAGTACTGGCCACTTGGCCGAGGAGAGCCTCAGGGGGGGTATAGAATGTGAGGTTGCCACCTGCTCCGGAGCGAACTTAGCGCTAATGCAATCGCAGATCTTGTCGATACCTTTCTTCTGCCGTCTCTTGTCGTAGCCATTACCTATCTGGCTAACTCATTGTGGGTTGAGCGCTCCGACTGTCAGAAGGCGATCGTAAGGGTTCTGAACTCCGTTCTGGCGCCCACTTCCATATCCAATGAGGCGCAAGCTATGCTCACTTCCGTCATGAACATAGTTGCCAAGCCGCTGGAACATTCTTTGAGAGCGTACCAACGATCGGATCCCAAGAGTCAAGAAGTCGAACCCCTTCTCAAGGCAATCAAAGACAGCATCCCCTTGTCTCGAAGGACGGGAGCAGCAGACCATACCGAGCTGGATGCTTGGTCTCTAGGCGGCTTCTCCAACTCTATCCGCCAAACATTGCAGCAATTGGTGCAGTGGAGCATCCACCCAACAATGGACAGAATGCCTCCCGCATACACCCATCGACAGATGCTTGTTGCGCTGAGACTACTAGGTGCGAAGCGACTGCTGCAGCTCCTGTACGAAGACATCAGGCAACAAACAGATACGGGCAGTGGCAGCATCATTTATGATGTAGCGACGGCAATAGTCTGCGCGCCTGACGTCGCCAACACACCGCCAAATCCCGTCAACTTCCTCGATAACTCAGGCAACATGCCTGCCCCTGTCCAGCGGAAGCTGACTCTGCGCGAGGTCTTGAAGTCGGATGCCGAGGACTGCAAGAGGCTACAGAAGACGGACATGAACCTGGCCGAGATTGTCGTCAGGCTGCACCGCAAGGTGGAGTCTCAGATGGCTGTTTCTCAGGCTCAGGCCATACAAGCAGACACGATGCTGCAGACTGACCTCGGCCTGGGCCTAGATACCGGCGCAGGCTCTCTCGACGATGCCATGGCGGCCGCGGCTGCCAACGTTGGGCAGGGCGACGGCATGTCTGTGGATAACGTGAGCCTCGATCTGGGCCTTGGCGGAGTCGGTGGAGATATGGGCCTTGGGGGCTCTTCCAACAATGGTGGAGGGTCATTGGACCTAGGGACCGATGACATATTCGGTGCACTCGGGGCCAGCGACGACTTTCAATGGGATAACATGGACCTTTCATAGGAGCAATCTATTGCGCTTTCGTCATTGAGATGCTCGACCTGGCGCAAGTACTCATTGGCGTACAGGGGATGGGAATAATCAAATTCAAAAAGACATTGGCTTCGACAGAACAGCATGTTACATTACATCTGATACCAAGAAAACACATTCAAATTCTTCCTTTTGTTTGCCGTTCACCCCTTCACTTTGTCTCGGGCCAGCTGCCGATGATGAACTGGGAATTGCACATGTTGGTGAGTTCCCAGTCCTCGGCGCCCATCTCAGCTTCCATGTTCACGTCACCCCGCCCCCCACACAGCCCGGCCACGAACATGGTCGCCATGAAATGGTCGTCCGTCGCATGCGCTTCACGATACATGGGGTGCTTCATCAGGCTCGTCGCTTTCCGTCGCAACATCGGGCCTCCGCACGGCTTCTTGCCGCGGATGGTCTTGCCGTACGCATCCTTGTCAACGGGGACGTCGTCCTCGTAGGCGGGGCAGAACGTGTCGATGACCTCCTGGCGGAAGTCCATCGCCCACATTTCCGGCGGGGTTGGCTGGGCAAAGTTGTCGCGGTAGCTGAGCATGGGCGCCCAGACGTTCCGGAAGAGGTTGTGCACCGACCCGCCGGAACCGATGAAGAGGGTCTTGTGCTTTGCAGCTCTAAGGGGTCGTAGAGCGGCACCGACAGCGACGTGGAAGTGAGGATCATAGTAATCGTTCATGGAGATCAAAGTTGTGGGCGGGCAACCAGCGGGGAACATGCGAATGAGGACAAGGTAGGTGTCGTGGATCCAGTCAAATGTCGGGTCCGTCTTCGAACGGATGCCGGCGGCGGTGAAGTGCGCCTGAATCGTGGGGATGAAGTCGAGATCCGGGTTGAGCTCATAGGACTGGTACTTGTTGGGGTTTACGAACGCGACAGGGGATTTGACGGGCTTGGGGTTCGCTGAGATGAGAACCTCGCCAGGTTTATTTGTAGCCCAGTGTGCGCCCTACGAGACGGGTTTTTGAGTGAGAAGTTCTAGGGAAAAGAGCGCCAGTGTCGTGGGCGAAGGGCGAGAAGCTTACCATCATGACAACGTGCTCGATCCCCCTAGCACGAGCTTCATCGCCACACTTTTTCCAGTAGGTGGCCGAGTTGCTCTCCTCGCCGAGCATCATAGTTGAGCCATGGGCGAAGAGAAAGACGGGATTCATGGGACCCTCATCTTTCTTTCCTATCGCCATGGTATGTTTGTACCTGTCAAAGTGAAGCTGCTACGTAGTTCGGGTGATGGTCAGAGCTGGAGATGGTTCTGATGAATGTGTATGTGCGTGCGTAGATGGATGATCAATTTGGATTCGACTAGCTAGTGAGGTATGCCTTCTTAGGCACGGGAACATACTCGAATACCAGATACGCTGACCTGGAGTACGTGGATATCCGGTGGCCGACAACTCTGCCGGCACGAATTAGCGGCCCCATCGGCGAAACGGGCTTTCCTCTTGGCATGCTTTCTGTGGGGGGGGGGGTTCACAACCTGGGGTAAAATGGGGCCGGTGGGGCCGTGACAAGGGAGCTGTAACCCAGCCGCCACTTCCCGAGCCGTACCAGCCGAGGGGTTCCGAATCGATTTGGAAGACTGCATGCTCAACATGTCAATCCATGACAACAACAAATCCAAGCTGGTCGCTATATTTTCGATGATTTTAACAAGTGAAGCTATCGGGTCTTGGCTAACGAAACGTCTGTTGACAAACAGCATTACAACAGGCAGGCAGCATTTCTTACGAGTACTGAATGTGGGGTGACTTCTGCGGAAAAAACTCATACGAGATAGTACATTATGGTGTTAAACTCAAGTAGCGCCGAAGCAAAGCTTGCTACAGAAAATTTAACGTCGTGTGCGCAAAATAAAACCTAGTGAAGGCACTACTAAAGTTCACCGACTCCTCAGCCCCTGAGTTTCAACGCATAGTCAAACATCCTCCGTCCGCCGATCCAGGTCCCGTACGCAAGGCTAGGTAGCAGGATGCTCATGACTAGACTAGCACTCAGCAAGAACCCTCGCTCGAAGAATCCCAAACTACTGTTCCCGGGCTGCTTCGTTGGCTGCAGTGGCGTGAGGGCCAGCACGTGCAGGTTCTGTGCCGTCACGACGCCGGAGCCGGTGAGAAGCTGTTCGACCTTTTCGAACGCGCCAGCGGGCCGCTCGATGAACTGCGGCCGGGCAACGGAGAACATGTCCTTGCTGTAGCGGAAGGCAAAGACCGGTTCGTGCGAGATTGGCGCCGCGGGTCCGAGGAGGAGGCTGGATGGGATTTGGTTGACAAAGGAGATGTGTGCGGGCAGGTGTTGGGCGAGGTACTTCGCCTCCTCGGGGCCGGCGAATAAGTAGGCAGCCAGTAGCGGGTTCCTTCTTGTCATGTCAGACGTGAGTATATCCTTCTGGGTAAGGTCTGACTTACTCGAACTCTCGGGTGTAGATGGAATCTACAAGTCCAGAGGATGTTGCGATGGGCAAGAAGCGGCCGCTGATCTTGATATCCAATAGCGAAGCGCTCCTGATACTGTCAGTATTGGATACTAAGCAAATAGTCTTGTACCGGAAGTGTGAGTTCGAGCGTACTTATTCTTAATGTCGACCAGCTTGAAATCCTTGGATCCAAAGCTCGAGACCAACCTTTGGTCCTCGGCCTCCTGGATAACCCTTCTTATCTCGTCGCTCGAATTTTCACTCGTGCGTCTGACAGTGGTCTCCCGCGCGAACGCGAGCGTCGCGTGTTTGGAGCATGCCTCGAAGAAGTCTTTCTTGACAAACTCATTGACAAGAACTAGGTCGGGCGCGTAGGGCGACTGACCGCTGAAGCCGAAGCGCGCAGCTGTGATGGCCTTGGCGGCGACCTCAACGTCAGCCGTCCGGTCGACGACGGCGACGGTACGGGCGGCGTTGGCCGAAACGAGGTTGTTTGCGCGGACTGCAGGGAGTGGGGATCTATTGGTCTGGTCTACGAGGATGGCTTGCTCAAGGAGATCTGCATCTGTGATCTTCTTGGTGACGCAAAATGCGTTTTGGTTGAGGGCGCGGGGGAGGACGTCACGGAGGACCGTATCGAGTTGCAAAAGAGAGTCCTCGAGCTATTGATGATTTGCCGTCAGCTTCTGATCTAGAGCATCCTGAGCTCGTGTCGTAAACATACCTCAAGGGCTACGACGGACCCAGCAGCCAGAGCCGCTGCAAGGGGACACAAGATGGAGAAGAGTCGGGTGTGAGTGGTCGGTCTGATAATCACCAGCCCGGCACCGGTTCTCCTGCTCGCGTTATCCTTGCCGTGAGCCACGAGATACTCCGTCTCAAGCTCCTTTTCAAAGTCGAGCGACCCGTAAAAGTGCCTTACAGCCTCGAGTGCCAGAAAATGCTCTGCCTCAATCTCCGCCTTGGAAGCATCCGTGTCTGCCTCCTGGGCTGCGGTGAGGGCCGAGGATTCTTTGCGCAGCTCGTTGTGAAGGCTGAGAAGGTTGTCCTGACGAAATCGAATGCCCTCGGCGCGCCCGTCGACGAGGGTGTCGAGCAGGCTCTCAATTGCAGAGTCCATCTCGAGGATACAGTTGCTCGACGAGCTGGTAAGATGAGGATTGGGTGAAGAGAACCGAAGATGTGTGTTGAAGTGAGATGAGATCGCAACGACTGGGGCCAGCGATGAAGAAGTGTTATGCGATACGATGCGATGCGATGTTGTACTATCTACATGATCCGAGCTCAACATTGCCTGGGCTCTCGATGAACCCCCGATGAACCCGCAGCCCAAACAGCTTTGCGCGGACGGTGGAGGGGAGAACTTTCGTTTGGGCTAGCTAGGCCAGCGGCTCTGGGCCTTGCGAGGGGCGGAATGTGGAGGACAAGGGTTGCCTTACAGATCCAATTGGCAAGCTTTGCCAGGGTTCCTATGATACCTACGTTGCACCAGCTAATTAAAGAGACGCTTACTCTTCGCACTTCCGACGCCGAGGGGGGCGGGCGCGAGCGCGGCTCCGCAGGGGCAATGGTCGGCATATTGAACGGGGTTGTCTCCCACACTTGCTTTGGTTTTTTGAGATGCGCATTCTACATGCTTGACGTGAAGGCTTTTCGACACCAGGCTCTCCTCGAGAACAATACAGGCCTCGCCCGTCCCATCTCCACAAGCGAAGATACAACCGCTCAGATTATCCAAAATGTCAGCAACGATCACGGAGAACCCTGTCACATCGACGGTCCATCAGGACTACTTACACGACTACCAAATTCGACTCACGGGGGGGATCGAGGAAGCGTTCGCCCGACGCAACGAGGACGCGCCGGCGCCAGCGGCCGAGTACCCGCCCGGATGGTACGACCAGCATCGTCAGGTTCCTCCTTATAGGCCCGTGAACAGGAATCTGGACCTCGCTGACCGGCCGTGGGGTTCGAACGGCATCGAGTCGACATTCGTATATCTCATGATGAACGGCTGCTGGCTTCAAGGGGTGAGTCAAAGACGACACGAGAAGCAGCCAACACCTGCAAGACAATATTTCTGACGTGCCCATTGATAGATTGCTAGCTGGCTCTGGAGGGGGACGGGCGGGAGAGTGAACAAGAGCCTTTTCAGAGCCAAAGTTGGTGGTGAGATTTGAGGCTTGGGACAGTGACATTATAGATGACAGAATCCAGATGGCGGTGCTGGACGGAATGTTTGGTGTACTACATCATCGGTGCAATTCTGCCCTCCCATGTCATTATGATTATTCGATTCGTTGAAACAGAGCTGCTAGTTGTGCTGTGACGAATTGCTGCAAGCGGTAGACTTGATACTGTCAGTAGCACTAGGGAAAAGGATGAGACTTACACAAGCACGCTACCTAGGTAGGCATTGCTGACCGAAACCCAAATGCAAATGCACTAACCTACCATTGTCCCGAAACTTGTAGTGCCGCTTGCTGGAGTGTCGCAGGCAGGTGCCGTGGTTGCTAGCCTTACCTACCTACCTGTACTTAGGTAGATGTGCCACGTCCGCTGGGGTAAGCCCGCCCCTCCCCCACCCTCCCGCCCGCGCGGAACACAACAGAGTTGAGCGGAGGAGAAACAGAAGGAGGGGTCCGATCATCGACCACATGCATCAATCGCCCTCGGTAACCTGTCGTCCTCGAAGAAAGCGAGATATCACTATCCAAGAAGAAAGCCCTGTGCAATAAAATCCAGAAAGTCCCGTTCAGTAACAGTCCTTTCGCATTGAAACGAGGCAGACCCCCACAACCTATGCTAGACACAGCTCAAAGGAAAACATGTCCATCAAGACCCCTCCCATCAAAGACCTCCTCGAGGTCACTCAGGATACCGAGAATGGCCTTACCTTTATGAAGAACGTCTCGATACCCCTCAAGGACTCGCCTCTCCCCATCCGCGCAAATGTCTACCTTCCGCTCGCCGCGGACAAGGGGGCCCGCTACCCCGTGTTGGTGACCTACGGGCCCTATGGCAAGGACATTCCCTATGCATCATTCTTCCCCAAGTCGTTCAGCGAGGTCAGCCCGGAGCAGAAGTCCAAGTACTCGGCCTGGGAAACGCCCGATCCCGTCTTTTGGACGAAACAAGGCTATGCCATCGTCCGCGCCGACGAGCGCGGCCTGGGCCAGAGTCCCGGCCTGCTGGACACTATGAGCCGCGGCACGAGCGAGTGTTTCTTTGACGTTGTCGAGTGGGCAGCGGACCAGCAATGGTCTACTGGCAAGGTCGGTCTCTTGGGTATTTCATACTATGCCGGTACGTTTTATCTTCTCTTCAGAGACGAACCATCGAAACATGTGACTTACGCTGTAGTCAGGTTCGCAATGGCGTGTCGCCGCTCGCAGGCCCAAGGGACTTGCTGCCATCATCCCCTGGGAGGGCATGTCGGATTACTACCGTGATCGCTGTCGTCATGGAGGGATCTACTCCAACAAGTTCATCGGTGTCTGGTGGAACCGACAGGTCCTCGTTAACCAGTACGGGCGGAAAGACAGGTCTCAGCTGCAATTCCCACCCGACGGCCCTGGCGCGAGAGGTCAGGAGGACACTATCGAGGGTGATCTGCCAGACGACGTCCTCGTCGCGAACCGCAAGGACCAGACCAAAGACAATGAGCTCAATCGCTTCCGCGACGACGAATACTATGCCAGCAAGGAGTACAACTTGTCAGACATTGAAGTTCCCGTTCTGAGCGTTGCCAACTGGGGCGGTATCCTTCTTCATCTCCGAGGCAACGTGCAGGGTTACCTTGGGGCCGGCTCCAAGCTTAAGTACCTCCGTTTCATCACGGGCCGCCACGACCTCCCCTTCTACTATCCCGAGGAGGTCGAGCTACAAAAAAGTTTCCTAGATGCCTTCCTCAAGGGCGAGGATCGCGTCGGCTGGAGCACGCCTGGCAAGGTGCCTCCAGTGACGCTTACACTGCGAAAGGGCAACGTTGGCTTTAACGATGCTGAGAAGGAGAAAGCGTACCCCAAGAGAGAGGAGACTGCCTGGCCCATCTCGCGCACCAAGTACACAAACTTCTATCTGACGCCAGACCTCGGTCTCACTACGAGTGGATCCAGCACCGAATCCAAGACTGTCTCCTACAAGGCTCTGGGCTCGTTAGACAACCAGCAGGCCGTCTCCTTCACGACTGCGCCCTTCGAGCAAGAGACCGAGATAACGGGCCACGTCACCGCTCACCTTAACGTCTCAGTAACGCCTGATAATGCCGATAACGAGACCGATATCGATCTGTTTGTCACTTTGCGGCACATTGACGCGAACGGCCAGGAAATATACTACACGGGCACGGCCGGCGATCCCGTCCCGCTGGTCAAGGGCTGGCTGAGAGTAAGCAACCGCAAGATACACGAGGAGAACCCCAGACACAAGTCCTGGCTGCCACACAGGGAATACCTCTCAACTGATGTCCAGCCAGTCAAAGCTGGCGAAGTGTACGGCGTGGACATTGAGATCTGGCCGACGAATGTCGTTGTCGACAAAGGTAACAAGCTTGTTTTCGAAGTCAGCAGCGGCGACACACAGGGCAGTGGTATTTTCCAGCACTGCTCCGAAGTCGACAGGTAAGCTTCATGGGTTTTGGCACTCTTCTGGAGACCATTTGCTGACCACTACTCCCAAGGCCTGCGTCCAAGTTTGGAGGACTGAACAACATTCATTTCGGGCAAGGCCTTGAGAATTTTGTTACCTTGCCTGTAATCCCGCCGAAATGAGAAGAAGACGAGAGATCACCCGCTGCGTATTCATCTGCAGCGTGTTTGGTATCGTGCCGTGAATCCTCGCCGAGTGCGAAGCGAAGCTGAGCTCCGAGCAGTCGAACCGAGCCTCCTACGTACCTGGGTGGATAAGGGGCTAGAGGACGGGGCCGGTGGGGGTGGGGGTGGGGGATAAGGTGGGGGAGGGGAAGGGGAGTGTAGACTCGTGATAGGCAATAAGCGAGCTCCTTGGGAGTTTCGCCATGAAAGTGTTAAAGCGACACAGGCTGTCGCAACGCATACTCTTAAGACAGCTGTGCAATTCAGATCCTTTCCACGAGCGAGCCTGTTCATTGCAACCCGTCATCCACCATGAGCTTCTCCGAGCACTTCTCCATTGCCAACATTCCCTACGGGATTGCGAGTACTCCAAAGCGTCCACGAGGTGTAGCCACAAGAGTCGAGGACTCTGTCGTTTTTCTCGCAGACCTGGACATCGAGGCTTCCGAGCCACTTAAGTCCGCATTGTCCCAAGTGGGCCCCCTACTCCTTCGACACCCAAGTAGCAAGATAATGCTGATCACCACTGCAGCCGACTCTTAACGACCTGATAGCCGTGGAGAAGACTGAACTCCAGCTCCTCCGAAGGAACATCCAGAGACTGCTGTCCGACAAGCCCACACTATCGAAGCATGGAGTGCCCGTCAACGAGGTCCAACTGCACTTGCCTGTTAAGGTCTATGGATTCACTGACTTCTCATGCTCAGTGCAACACATGATGAACGCATCGGAGGCCGTCAGGGGCAAGGCCGAGATGCCACCAGCGGCGCCCTATCTACCCATTGGCTACAGCGGCCGACCATCTTCCATTGTCGTCTCGGGAACGAGTATCACTCGGCCCTATGGCCAGTATCGAGACGGGGACCGAATTGGCTTCGGCCCAGCGCAAGCGCTGGACTACGAGCTGGAAGTAGCTTGCATCATTGGCAAGCCGACAAAACTAGGAAACAGAGTATCCGTATCAGATGCCGACGAGCACATCTTTGGCCTTGTGCTTTTGAACGACTGGAGTGGTAGGTTTCAAGTCACCTTGGCGGGGTTTTATATGACTAATAGTGGCAAGCTCGAGATATTCAGGGTCTCGAGATGAGTCCTTTGGGCCCGTTGAATGGCAAGTCTTTCGGTACATCGATTAGCCCCTGGGGTAAGTTATGCCCAGTAACATTTCGTGTTTTGGTGACCTGCCACTAATCGGGAGTCTCGTGTAAGTGATCACGCTCGAAGCGCTCGAACCGTTTGCGACACAGCCGCCGGCGAGGGACGTACCCGCCCAGCCATATCTCACAGACAAGAAAGAGAAATCGAGTTATAAGATTGAACTAAAGGCCGAGGTGTTGACAAATGGCAAGGCTACGACGGTCTGTAAAGCTCAGCTCAGCTGGATGTCCTGGACGTTCCGAGATCTTGTGGCTCAGCAGACGATCAACGGGTGCAACCTGAACACCGGCGACTTATTGGCGACAGGAACAGTGTCAGGGACCGGCGACGACGAGCACGGATGTCTGCTTGAGATGACCAAAGGCGGCAAAGTTGGATGGAAAACGAGCGACGGTCAGGACAGGACGTACTTGAAGGATGGCGATGGTGTGCGCATCAGTGGGTACGCAGGCGGCGGTGTGGGATTTGGTGAGTGCGTGGGATTCATCGATGCCGCCCTGCCGTTCTGAGTCGTCAAAGAAGCCGATTCGGGAGACGAGCAACAATGGTTGGTGTCAAGGGGCTTAGGTAACTAGGGAGGGTGTAATGCAGATAGGGAACGGATAGCTCTGAGCTGGCTTGGCTGGGTCTGCAGAGCCCTCGCCTCGAGGCCTCTTCCCTGGGGTAGCGGCTTCGCCTTGAAATCCGAACAGGACAAGCCCAGGCACAGCTTGCTCCGTTGGTGCGCGTGTGTTGAAATGAAACTTCGGCAGCGCGTGAGCGAATGAATGAATGTAAGGCGCGAAGGGTGGTGAGAGTTGGAGGTTGGGTATTTCAATAATAACCAGCAGTGCTATTAGGTACACCTTCCCATAGATCAACGCGGGTGCTTTCCCTTCTCCTCTTGCCGGCTTCTTGAGGTCTTGGGTGTCTAGAGTTTGGAGGCGACTAGACTTTGCTCTGTGAGACGTCTACCTACTACACTATGCCGTCTTGGTTGCGGTGTTGGCAAGTTCGGTGCGGGTCGGGGACCCACTTTCCCGAGGTTTATGCGCACGAATCGAGGGCGATCGGAAGAAGGTACCTACCTACGTGCGTGCACGGACGCGTGGGAGTGTCGCCGCACCCTGAACCTCGTCATTCGTGCCAAATGTCCCGGTCGCGTCCAATGTGAGGCGGGAGCGCAGTCCAAAGTGAATCGCAGAGCGCAAGCCCAGGTTTGATGACTACCGTAAACACTGGCTAAATTTGACCACCTCCACTTTGCAAGCTAACGGCAACGGGTATCGCCGCCGCCGACTACGCTAAACCCTCTATAGAAGGCGGTCAACCAACCCATCGACCCATCCACCAACCTAACCCTAACCCTTGCCACTAAACTTGCTGCTGACGTTGACTAACCCCTGCATTTGCCACATCTACATCCTTGTTTCTGCCAGCAGACTATACCCCTCACAGCAGGCCGCGATACTTGTTGCCGTTAGCTTGCAAAGTGGAGGTGGTCAAATTTAGCCAGTGTTTACGGTAGATGCGCCAATGCTGTTTCCGCAAGCCGTAGAAGCTCCGCTCCGCTAGTCGCTCACAGTTGGATAGCTGCGCGCTCCTAGAGACCCAGCCGGCACATATTGTTACTTGAAGGCGGTGTCATCATTCATTCGAGCAGGGTTACAACTACTATTTAATCTAGAACAAGGGGGAGAATTCGGATAATGACAGGAGAAGACACAAGGTTGCAAGGAAGAGATGGGCAGAGTTTCAGCCTACACTCCTGCGGACACACGGACAGCGGCAATGACGACGGGCATGGCCGAGGCGGTCAACGGTCATTGAGCATGTACACGAGGACATTGCAGGTGGCATGTGGTTCTGTGCACATGTTGTCTGTCTCTCCTTCTGTGTGCGTGTGTATGCATGTGCATGTGGCAGTGGGACCTATCTACATACATTACCGTACCTAGGTAGATAGTCGCCTACCTAGGTAAGTAGGTACTTACACGTACGTAGTAAGTATTCCTCATAGTAGCGCAGCCAAATCTTCCAGTCCGTTCAACCGTGGTCCCGGGGCTACAATCGGCGACAAAATTTTCTTATCGCACCCATTATCGGACGAGTTTGCAGGGGTAAGAGTATCCGTACTGGGCTAACAATCATCCGGCACATGTTCCTGAATCCCGCGTGGAGCCAAGCAAAAACGAGCAGGGGAAAGGAAAAAAATCTACTCTGACGCCAGATGGCTGATGATTCCGAAAAACGGACTGCCAGGTCCTTGGAATTGACTCAGGTCATCCATCCCGCTGTTTCTGGTACTGTCTCTCGAAAAGTCCATGCATGGACAGAGAGTACTGCGTATACTACTGGTCTCCCTCCTGATACCGTCTTAGTGTGTTCCCTCATCTGAGACCTACTGAATCATTCTTCTCTGCATTCTCTTACTTGCCGAGTGCAACCAAGAAAGGAGACAAGATACCTAAAAGGGGAAAAAAACTTGACCGGCTGCAGTGAAGAAGCTTTTTTTGTTTGTATACAGCGTGACGAACTTCCCCTGATCGGACCCTCCTAATTCCCAGTTCTGCCCCAAACCTGCTCCTTTTCCTTCCCCCTCTTTCCCTCAGCCTCCCTATCCTTCGAGTATCGTCCTTGTGAACCCCCTGTATTTCATACCGTAAGAAGAACGACCGAAAGCCTGGAGAGAAAAGGAACCACGCTAGGTACTCGCCGACTTAACCCCCCCGGCCCACGTCGGCTAGAGCGTAATCTTATCGCAACCGCACCAACCTCCTTCGCGGGATAGCAACCCACAACCCACACGAGGGCCACACAGTCACCTCACCCTCACCGAGCGAGCACCCTTCTCTTCTTTCTGTAACGAGATACAGGAAGACGTAACCCACAGACTATTCCTGCTGCGCCCGCGCTCCTAATCCCTCTTCAGCTTTTCCTTCTTCTAAGCACCCGCCCATCATGAGCAAAGCAGCGGTTGTCAAGGAGGCCGTCAAGGAGAGCCTCCTTGGTGCCGAAGAACCCGTCCAGCTGTCGGCGCAGACCAAGGCGAGGTTCATCGCCAATGCCGCCAAGGACGAGACCACAGGAGAGCTCTTTATGGGCCCTGAGGAGTTCACCAAGGCCGTTGCGCCCGAGAATGAAGACTTCGTACGTCTGGATTTTCCTTTGTGTGTGCGCGTGTGTTTGTTGCGTCTCCTTCTCGCTGTCTCCGGCCCAGGAGGCGTACAAGCCAGATTCAATGTCCTTCGATGGCTCACGCGACCGGTTTTGCTAACTCTAAGGGCCCGCGACTAAGCACAAAATCAAGCGGGAACAGTATGGCATCCTGTTCGGCGTTGCCGACCGAAAAGGCGTTGGCAAGATCACCCTCTCCGAGTGGGCCGCGTTCGAGAACCTGTTGATGAAGCCCGACGCCGAGTACGAGATAGCCTTCCGCCTCTTCGACGTCGACAGGACCGGCAACGTCAAGTACGAGGACTTCCGAAAGCTCTACGAACTTAACAAGGGCCCCGACAGCATCCCCTTCGACTGGGAGTGCGAGTGGGCCAAGCTGTACATTGGTAGTAAGAAGAAGCGCCACCACATGGACTATCCCCAGTTCTCTCAGATGCTGCGCGGCCTACAGGGCGAGCGCATCCGTCAGGCTTTCCAGCTCTTCGACAAGGACGGAGATGGCTTCATCGACTCGGAGGACTTTGAGCGCATCATCCTCGAGACCTCCAAACACAAGCTCTCCGACCACTTGCTCGAGAACCTGTCGACCCTCTGCAACATCTCCCTTGGCAGCAAGGTGTCATACGCCAACGTGCGCGCGTTCCAGAACATGGTTAAGGAGATTGACCTGGTCGAGCTCATTGTGCGCCGTGCCTGTGCCAAGAGCCCAGACGGCAAAATCACTAGGACCGAGTTCCTCAACCAAGCCGCCAAGATTACTCGATTCTCCCTTTTTACCCCCATGGAGGCCGACATTCTCTTCCACTTTGCCAGCCTTGACGAGCCATCGGGCCGGCTTGGTTTGGGCGACTTCGCCAAGGTTCTCGACCCTTCGTGGAGAAATGCCATTTACGATGCGGACGAGGCGGCCTCGCGGGCGCTGGCCAAGGGTGCCACGGCTTCCAAGGCCGTCCTCACCTCCATCCTCGAGTCGGCATACAATTTTGGTCTGGGCAGTATGGCGGGCGCTTTTGGCGCATTTATGGTTTACCCCATTGACCTCGTCAAAACGCGGTTGCAGAACCAGAGAAGTGCCAGGCCGGGAGAGAGGCTGTACAAGAACTCGATCGACTGTTTCCAGAAGGTGTGGAGGAACGAGGGTCCCCGAGGCCTGTACTCAGGTGTCGTGCCCCAGCTCATTGGTGTTGCCCCTGAGAAGGCCATCAAGCTGACCGTGAACGATATCGTGCGTGGGTACTTCACCAATAAGGAGGGCAAGATATGGTATGGCCACGAGATTCTTGCTGGTGGTACGGCTGGTGGTTGCCAAGTTGTGAGCCTTCCCTTTCACCCAATGATGCATTGAATATGAAAGAAGAGCCGCATGCTAATGTTGCGCCCCCCAGGTCTTCACCAACCCCCTCGAAATCGTCAAGATTCGCCTCCAGGTTCAGGGCGAGGTCGCCAAGACGGTCGAAGGAGCTCCTAGAAGGTCAGCCATGTGGATTGTGCGTAACTTGGGCCTTGTTGGTCTCTACAAGGGTGCCTCTGCTTGCCTGTTGCGCGACGTTCCCTTCTCGGCCATTTACTTCCCCACGTACAGCCACTTGAAGAGGGACTTCTTTGGCGAATCCCCCACCAAGAAGCTCGGTGTCCTCCAGCTGCTGACTGCGGGTGCCATTGCCGGTATGCCTGCCGCCTACCTCACGACTCCCTGCGATGTCATCAAGACCCGTCTCCAGGTCGAGGCCCGCAAGGGAGAGGCTACCTACACGGGTCTCCGCCACGCCGCCAAGACCATCTGGAAGGAGGAGGGTTTCCGCGCCTTCTTCAAGGGCGGCCCTGCGAGAATCTTCCGCTCCTCTCCACAATTCGGCTTCACTCTTGCCGCCTACGAGGTCCTGCAGAACGTCATCCCTTACCCCGGCAAGCCCGAGAGCTCCAAGGTCCACACGGGCGTTGGCGATGCCGTTTCTACCCTGAAGAAGACCCTCGATACGAGCCCCTTCGCCCGCAGCCGCAACGCCCTCAAGATCATTCTCGACATTGACGAGGACTTTGGCAAGGTCAAGGTTCCAAACCAGGAGAGTTGGAAGAAGCTGCCCGCCTTCATGCAGACCAATGGAAACGGCTCTTCATGAGCAGGCTGAACTCGAAAAAAAAAAACCGGATACCGGTGAAAAATAACCAGAATAAGCCTCATTATGCTTAGCTGGATAAAAGTCAAGTGTTCAAAGTCACAGTTCGCAAGAATCGCATATATGGCCGGGTATTACAAAAGTTGTAGAGCAATAAACCCAAGACGGAGACAGAGAAAGCCCTCTGGGGCTGATCAAGCAAAAATTGGGTGGCAGACATCTTTGCAAGTTGCAGATGGTAAGTGAAGAGAGACTGCATATTCCCCCCGACGGCGTTCAGGGGTAGGCATACAAAGGGTCTTGAGGCATTTTTTTCTTCCTTTTCTGTGTTATTGTCTTGTTTTTTGGTTACGTTTCTATTTACTTGCTCTTTGCCCTGCGCGCGGCCTTCCTCTTTCTTGGTTAGAAAATAGATGGTCTTTTTGCAGTTGCAAAGCTGTTTAGCATAGTCTGTTTGGTGCCGCTGCCAGTTGCTGCAACATTGTATACATGTCGTTGGTCAGAGGTAGAAATTCTAGACTATTGTTGCCTCTTGAAGGACGTTTTGGGGCAGTTTTTTTAGGTTTTTCTTTTAGTCCTAGATAAGTATCTATGGTGTAATCACAATGCTGTTCTCCCAGGACCCGACGTCTTCCTGTGGTTCAACAAACTCCTCAAGTGAAAAGTGTCGACACAGACTTCGGGCAAGATACCAATTGTGAAGGCGTGGCTCAAATAAGACACTCGCATATATCTTTGGTCTCTAGACACTGATTGGTATAGAGAATATATTTCAACGCAAGTATAGTCTAGTCCAGTCTCTGATGTTCCTCATCATCTCCTTGGAGAAGCGAGTCCCTCTCGTCGGTCTTGCCCTCAGAACCACGGTACAGGACGTAGTGCTGCGTCATGAACACAACGTCGTACACCATGGAGACGTTGCCTAGCGCAAACTTAACAGGGTTGCCCGTGATGCCGGACCAGTCGCGTTGTAGGTACGAGTCAATGGCCTGCTGGCCCACAGACAACAGACCGCCGGAGAAGTCGAGCAGAATCTGCCAAATGGACCAGCCTTTGGTCGACTTGTTGCGGTAGTTGGTCATAACCTGCGGTGTGTACTTGATCAGGGTGATGACGAGCTTGACGTACGAGACGGCGTAGACGGCGTCGAGGGCGCACCAGCTCGTGCGTGGGTCACCGTCGCCCGGGGCGGAAGCGACAATGAAGGCAACGAAGACAACGCCAATGACGCAACCGAAGGCGATGCCCGAGATGAATCGGCTCGGCTTTGTGCCGTGGGCCGGCGCGAAGCCCCAAAGCTTGGGGATGTACTGGGAGGTGGTGATGCAGGAGAGAAGAAGGGCGTGAGCGGCGAAGGTGATGTCGTTGAAGGCGACGGTCGGTGTCAGGCCATGGTTGCGCGCGGCGTACTGAGAGCGGACGACGGGGGAGTAGTAGAAAGCGGCGTTGGATACGAAGTAGGCGAGGAAGCCTATGATGGCGTACTTGGTCAGCAATCGCGCAGCAGTTGCTAAAGACAAACAAAACAGGTCTTACCTAGGCAGTTGATCAGGGGGAAGTCAACCGTTGTGCCGGCCGTGGTCTTCCTGTGAAAGTTGAGGAGAGGCTGCGGGTAAAAGGAGCCGGACCAGCAGAGGAAGTAGATCCAGCCGAAGATGGCGGACAGAAAACGGAGGAATTCGAATGCCATGGTTGCCAGGCTCTCGATATGGAACTGTCCAGGCGTCGCAAATGGGCCTGCGGGTGTATATTTCTTTTACACCCCTAATACAGTCCTTCTCACGAAAACCCTTCAGTCAGCCAGCCAACCTGTCGGGTTCGTAGGCTGCGTAAATAGGGTGTGAAGGTCGCAAAAGCGCCAAATGAGATACTCACGCGATTGCAGCATGGAGGTGCCTGCGGTCAGATGCGGGTTAGTGCCATCGCCGCGCTATGTCGTGGGCCCGGCCAATGTCCAAATCACAAGCCCCACCCGCAATGACGCTGGGGCGACTTGGGCCGCGCCAAAAGCAGCGGCTAGCTGTGACCAGAAGGCTGGTAGCAATGTTACGGTGGGGCCAGGGTCTAAGAGGGGTACCCGAGTGAAAAGGCCCGCCCGTGGTAGAATTGGGTCCGGTGTCGTCACCGTGGGGTGCGATGTCGCCATTGCGACCCCTAAATGCCCGTACGGTTTCCTGGTGGTGACGGCGATGGGTCGGAGTCGAGGGGCTCCTCTGTATGTCGACTTTAGGATCGCGTGACTTATTGCTTCAGATGAACAACGAGCCCGAGACCATAATTCGGAGAGCCTTTGGATTCTTGGTCATCTGTCGCTCAGGCAATGCTGGAATGTCGAGACTGAGTGGTTGTTACTGGGATAGTTTCGTCGACGAAGGGCTCTGGGACTGATGACGATATCGGTCAGCCTGAACAGCGCATTAAAAATCACACCGTTAGATTCTGTCGTCACTTCTCAACGGGCAAGATCCTCCCGCCGCCATCAGCGCCGCGGCGCATCATGCCCTCAAGCCAGCGAACGTAACCCTCGAATCCGGTGATGCTCCCATAGACCTTAACGTCCCTGACGCCGCGAACCCCCTCGAAAACCCGCAATGTGGCGTGGTCGGCCCCCTGGAACACGGCCTGCCACACCTCAATGATGAGTTCGTCGACGCCGCTGAAGGCTGCCGCTGCGGCGCTGGCGTCAAAAGTTGGGTCGCAATCAAGCCGCACGCGGATGTGGAAGCGGCGGATGTGCTGGAGCACTGAGCGCTCCCGTATGGACGGATACCAGGGCCGCAACCGCGGGAAAGAGGCGAGCAGCGTTGCGTGCGCCAGGAACATGTTTTTGGAATAGAGGATGGTTGTGCCCTCGGCATGAGTTTGTCGGCTCGCGGCGAGAATGGCTGGGTGTAACCGTGTTACAGGCCGGGTCGTATTGAGTTTGTCTATGGGAGGGTGAAGGAGGAGATGGGTGTAGATATCAAGCCGGATCTCGAGCGGAAGGTCTAGGAACTGACATCTTGAGGAAGCCATTTGCGGCTATTAGAAGGATTCTGCAGAGCAAGTATAAGTAAGCCTCGTACATCAGTCTGTGGGCATAGCTGAAAACATGAAATGTGAAGGGGAAGGTTGAAGTGTAGATGGATTATGATCTGTCCAATGAATAAACCTCGCTATTTTGGAGAAGCAGAGATAAGACATGATCGGTTCATGCATGAGCTGATCGGTCATCGGTGGTGAAGCCCCGAGTTAGCGCATCAGATCAGCCTCCTCCAATGCCCACGCCCAAGAGACCGGGCCAACGGGCAAGCCGATGTTGATCAGGCACTTGCCTACTTCAAGATGACAGTTGCCTATCATTAGAGACATTTTCGACTCGGATCGTGTCAGTACAAATGAGAAGCAAGAATTTAAGTTAACATCGGATCATGCAGCCCCCACCGGAAAAATACAAACAAGCCAGCTAACTTGAATAGCCTGAGCAAGGTGTCCTGAGTGAAAACAGACTCGTGCCGATAGAACGGTAGATCATGCCTTTTTTGTCACTGGAAAGAGCTTGACAAATCGATGGAGGCGTCTCGTGGAGTTCTGCTCAGGTTGCTGCTTTCGCACGGGTGAAGTTAATTCAGTTGGAAAGCCTTACGCTACGATTCTGGATATGGCAACCCAAACCACGCATCGCCGTCTCGTTGAAGATGTCTATAACATTTCTATTTTGTTCTTCTATCTAGCGCGTGTGCCCACCATATTGCTATATCTACAACGACGCCCGCTTACATGCTCCGGTGTTAATCATACTATACAGTCGATAGGTCCCACGCAAACCGAGGGTATGCAAGTTGCACCCCGTAAGAAGGGCAGTAATCCGGGTATGCTGCCCAGACACTGGGAAATATCGGAAATTATGTCGTGAGTCGCCCGCTAGGACATGGTTAATTCAGGGAAGTATCTTGACAGCTTATTAGGATGTCCAAATTCTGTCCTGCTCTGACTTTGGTCCTCAGGAACCAGTGACTCAGTGTCACTGTCGACATGAGGAGAAACTTGCTCTGGCGCAGTCCGTTTCACCTTGATGTTTCCCTGCACCGTAGGCCGTGGTGTGTTGATTCGCGTGCTCGAAATGCTCAAGATCGATCTTGAATCCACCGGCGTTGACACCTCGTGAAGCTGACTGGGTGACCGCGACTTACCGGTGAAGCCAGGCTCCGGCGTGTGGTTACGAGAGACGCCGAAACCAGACTCCGGCGTATGACTACGAGAGATGCCGAGAGGGATGGTTGGACCAAGGTTCCTTTTCGAAGTCTCAGGGCTAGGCAACGCCGTTGCCGCTGGGCTGAGTAGCGATGAGATTTTCTCATTCGCCATCAACCCCTTCGTCTGAACGAAGGCACTTGATCTGGCGTGGTACGGGCTTCGATCGTAGTACTTATCAATAATCGGATGAACCATGACGGTTTGGTTATGGATTGTTAGAATTGAGTTGGTAGGGACGTTCACCCAATTTTCTATGAAGGGATCAGCGTATGCTCGGATTCTCACCCAGGTATTCCTTCCGAAACGTACCTCTTTCAAAAGTCAGTGGCTCGCTCGCGACCAGAACAATATCGGCACCTTTATCTTGACGTTCCATTTGGTAGTTTCGATCGCTGACAGCCGATGTCCTCGTTCCCCATTCAGTTCCGGACGAGTAGTACAGGCTCGCCGCCTCGTCCGTCGCGCTGCTGATATAGCGTGTGCAAATCACACTTTTGCCGTCCGTAACGGCAAAATTGAGCAAGCTCCGAGTGTCGACGTTCTCCGACTGGATTGTGCTCTCCGGAATGCCATCGATCAGCTCGTTGATGATGGCTATGGTCTTGAGCATAGTCTTCCTCAACACCGTAGGACCGAACCCGTTGGCAGGTTGTGAGCTAGGGTCAAGCCCCATCCTTTCAAGAGTGTCGAGGAACAAGGCAAACGCCCATTCACTGTCTGTCCCACCTTGGACACCCAGGTACCACTTGTCGGCTAACCTCTCTCCAAGTCTCCTTTTGATATATTTCCAACCTCCTAGGCCTCCATTGTGCATCCACATTAAACTGCCGTGGCAAAACGGATGGCAGTTGTCTTCGCTCAGCGATCCCTCGGTCGTGGCCCGAACATGGGCAAATATGAGTTGTGATGCGGTCTTGGAGGCGATTCTCTGGAGGTTGGTGCAGTTCCATGCCGGAATCGTCGATGTAAAGAGACAAGGGGCGTGGCCCAACTTGGAGTCGGTATAGAAGCCGATGCCAAAGCCATCAGCGTTGTTCTGACCTCTTCGAGTGTCCTAATCGGCCAGCCAACGTTCGTCAGTAACGTAGGTGCCTGAGTAGCGGGAACGGGTTCTATAGACCTACCAACCTGAGTCTAGAATCGAATGATTGCTTCAATATGGAGTGAGTCGGGTCAAGGATAAGCTTGGAGAGGAGAATCTCGTCACTTCCCCGGTAGACCTTGACGAAGTCAGCAATTGTTCCAGTGTATTCAGCAACGTGAAACCTACCAGGAATCGGCACATGTTGGCTGTGTTGGATGATTTCGCTGGAGGAGCGGACAGACAGGGAGGGAGAGAGAAAGAGATAGAAGAGGGATGGACGCTGCTATGGTGGGTGGCGCGGATTGGATCGACAGTAGGTGACTCTATTCGTATCACAAGGACGACAGGCAGATGGGACGAAGAATCATTCAGCAGAATGCAAATATTGTGAATAAGAGCTAGAGGAAGGTGTCGGCCAGATATTGTTTGTTTGATGAGCTATGGCGCGATCAGGAACCCCCCCGGGCGGTGGCGCAAGTTGGTAGGGATATTGATTGATGGAGCACGGAGTACCGAGTAAGGCCAGTTAGTACCGCCTACAGCAGCTGATATGTAGTCCGTGCTGGCAAGAAAAAGGAATAGTAGAATGGCCGATTGCGCCTTTGTCCCGAGTGGGTGTTTCAAGGCGGCTTGAGCGCTTCTAGGTCTTGAATATGTAAAAGTAGGCATTCAATTTAGCACTGGTATTAATACGAGCGGCTGGGATGACAGGGCCAATTTTCTGACAGGCCTGGTGCGATTGGTGATGTGGTGCAGCGCCATCAATACTTTAAAGCTGTCAGGATCACGTATTGAGTTATCGAGGGTACTAAGGTATGATGGCGATTAGTGTTGGGCATTTATGGGATAAGTAATCATTGCTCCTTTACGAATATGTACAGTATTAATGCATTAAGCCAAACTTTGTGGAGCAGCTGTCGACCCGCCGATGCCAATTCATCACCCCTGAGCACGACTCGGAGACCGGCAGGCGATTGCATTGCAGCGCTGTAAGAGCCACTGAGCTGAAGCCTAAGGTCACACACGCCTCTTGCTTGGTGGGGAGCCGTAGTGACAGATACCTAGGTACTTGCCTGCTCGGGGAAAGTAGGTAGGTACATACGTCAATGTCGTCCCCACTACTGCAAATGGGCTCTTCATGCAACTCAAGAACCCGTTTGCATTCTTTACGTGGTTGATCCAGTCCATCCACGCCACTCCTGTTCGCGACATTTCCATCCCGACAGATTCTGGTGCCCGCGCCCCCCCGGCGGAACTGAAGCGCTGGAGACAAAACGAGAGCAACGAAAACATCAACAACAATAGTATCCAAATTTATCGACCACTACAATTCGGCCTTTTCGCTTGCATTTAGCTCTTGCATGCAAACAACCCATCACCGCTTTTCGCTCAACGCGCCTCGTGCTTCGCCGGCAGCATGAGCGGACGTCTCCTTGCCGCTGGGCTTTCGCCCGCAACGCGACGTGCCCCAGTCCAAGCTGTACGGCACTTCCATCGATTCCCCGCAGGCGGGCTACAGCGAGCTGATGCAGCTATTCGGGCCACCCAGCGCCGTATGTGGTTTCCTGGCAATGCCTTCCACAATGCTGTCATCGTGCGGAATGCATCTTTCGCCCGCTTTTTGCCCAAGCTGGTTGTCAAGTTTGCCAGGATCCCCGCCATGTTTGGCGGCCTAGCTGTAGGAACACTCGCCTGGATTCAGTATCAGGCCAACCGTACGTCTATCCTTCCTGAGTTTCCACCAACTAACTACTGACCGAATCATCTATAGAGATAACCAACAACGCCTGGGATATGGTCACCAAGACGGCAGACGGTGTATCAGAGACTGCATCAAGCTTTTTTGGAGGCGCGAAGGGCATTGTAGACCAAACGATGCGCGGATGGGAAAACACGAAAGAACAAATCGAGACGCCCGAATGGTTGCAAAAGGTTTTGCGCATCCATGAACACATTGGAACTGGCGGTGGCGGTTCCGAAGGTCCCGGTGGGGAGCAGCCAAAACAGAGTAGAGCAGGTGCGGCTGTTGTGGCGGGAGGTTCAGCTGCAGCATATGGCTACGATCAATCTTCAGAGGATGACCCGCGAGAACCCGACGAGGTGGCCAGAGATGACCAAATGATGGTTCTGACCAAGAAGATGATTGAGATTCGGGGCATGCTCCAGCAAGTTGGACAATCGAGCACTCTGACACTTCCCTCGATTGTTGTGATTGGATCCCAATCATCTGGGAAGAGCTCCGTTCTCGAGGCCCTTGTGGGCCATGAATTCCTACCCAAGGGAACCAATATGGTCACTCGCCGGCCGATAGAGCTGACCCTCGTCAACACTCCTGAGTCGGATGCTGAGTATGGCGAGTTCCCCGACTTGGGCCTCCGACGCATAACCGACTTTTCGTCCATTCAAAGGACATTGACTGAGCTCAACTTGGCAGTCCCCGATACTCAATGTGTATCGGATGATCCTATCCACCTCACCATTTACTCACCCAACGTCCCAGACCTGTCTCTTATTGACCTTCCCGGATATATCCAGGTGGTAGGACAAGGCCAGCCGCTTGAGCTGAAGCAGAAGATTTCCGAACTCTGCGACAAGTACATCCAGCCACCCAATGTCATCTTGGCCATCTCTGCCGCCGACGTGGACCTGGCAAACTCGACAGCCCTGCGTGCCAGTCGCCGCGTGGATCCTAGAGGTGAACGAACCATTGGAGTAGTAACCAAAATGGACTTGGTGGATGCTCCTCGCGGTGCAGCTATATTGGGCGACAAGCAATACCCCCTCAGGCTCGGCTATGTGGGCGTTGTATCCAAAGTTCCACAAACTGGCGGCTTGTTCAAGCGGTCTGGCAGCGTCATGTCAGCCATCGCAAAGAACGAGAACACCTTCTTCTCAGCACACCCGCTCGAGTTCGGCGAGGGAGCGGGCGTCAATGTAGGGACGATCAATCTGCGTAAGAAGCTCATGACGGTTCTTGAACAAACAATGTCTGCCAGTTTGGCAACCACCAGCGACGCCATTAGGCAAGAGCTCGAGGAGGCGACCTACGAGTTCAAGGTTCAATACAACGACCGGCCCCTGTCCGCCGAGTCTTACTTGGCGGAAAGTCTTGATGGCTTCAAGCATTCTTTTAAGCAGTTCACAGACGAATTTGGACGCCCTCAGATGCACCAGCTTCTTAAGCAAGAGCTGGACCAAAAGGTCCTCGACCTCCTGGCAGCTCGGTACTGGAACAAGCCCATTCAAGATTTGTCTCCTACCGGGCCTGAGCCGGACAGCTTGGCGGACCTGCCCAAGGCCGACCCAGACTCTCTCTACTGGCGCCGCCAGCTTGACGCCTCAACCTCTTCATTGACGAAACTTGGAGTTGGGAGATTGGCCACGACTGTCGTGGCATCGGCCATCCAAGCACACGTCGACAAGTTGATCAAGCACTCCACCTTTAGCAACCACCCGTTCGCTCGAGAAGCTATCAATGAAGCAGCCTCAACAATTCTAAACGAGAGATTCTACAGCACGAGCGACCAAGTCGAAAACTGTATCAAGCCTTACAAGTTTGAAATCGACATTGACGAGAGAGAATGGACCCAAGGTCGCGATCACTCGGCTGTTGTCTTGAAAAAGGAGCTTCAGGACTGTGAAGGTGCTATGAAGAGTATCGAGGATACTGTTGGCGGTCGCCGGAAGTTAAGAGAGGTAATGAATTTTGTGGACCGTGCTCGCAAGGGAGAGGTTGTGGTCGAGGGAGAAAGCCGGAGTGGCGCCGGGGGGTTCAGCGCTTCTCTCCTAAAAAGGGGTAAGTTCCAAAATAGTTGCTCTTATGAACCATTATTGCTAACGGTTGCCAGGACGTGAGGCTGTCTTCCTTCGAGATCGCGCCGATATCATCAAGATGCGCTTAATGGCAGTCAAGTCGAAGCAATGCGCCAACCTCAAGAACAAGTACTATTGCCCCGAGGTCTTCCTCGATGCAGCAGCCACAAAGCTCGCCTCGACGGCTGTGCTGTTCCTAAACGTGGAGCTCCTTTCGGAGTTTTACTACAATTTCCCGCGTGAGCTTGACCTCCGCCTCGGAAGACATCTCTCCGACGAAGATATTGAAAGGTTCGCCAAGGAAGATCCTAAGATTCGAAGGCATTTGGAGGTCATCCGTCGCAAGGAGCTGCTTGAGTTGGTTCTCGAGAAGATGGAGAGCCTGAGACAGCTTGAGGGACGCGAGCGGGAGCGATTGAAGGGCGGCAACAGCAGGCCCGCCAAGGATGACAAGCAGCGCGGACGCTGGGGGCTTTTTTGATGAGGACAAAGCTACCATGCTCCAAAGGCCCCTGAAGAATGGACCCTCTGTCCGGAATACCTGTAACGCGTTATGACTCTGGTGTAAAAGGAGTTGCGGTGTTGAGAGACGGAATGTTTTGCTTTGGCCTGTTGCGCGTTGTATCGACAGTAAGGCAGGCCTTCTTCTATTTGCAGGTTTCTCTGCGGTTATTTTTGTACATAGTGGTATATAACAAAGAAGGATACCCTCCTCGACTCAGCCGCTCGAAAGAATAGACTTTCCTCTGTCTTCGTTCCCCTCTTGAACTTTGGTTTTCATTTATAACTAGCCATGCAATGACTCTGATACCAGCACGTTAGATTGATGCCTACTCCGGAAACAACAGCACTGCCCCTATTGGCCTGCAGAACCAAATGTGCTCAGCCTTGTCAAAAAGCAGCATCGACGCTCGTTTGCAGCGTCACCTCCCATCTGAGGCTCGTGCCACGACCATAGCCTTCGCCGAGTCTGTTCTGGATCAGGGTAGATATGCGACTTCGCAGCTTGCTGATAGCACCCTCGTCGCAGCCTTTTGCCACGGAGATTTTAAGATTGGCCATGCACAGGCCGTAGTGCACCTGCCAAAACTGCGCATCCTCGATTCGTGCGACGCCCGGCTCGGCTTCAATATCCCGCATCACAGATGAGACGCCCTCATTGCCCCCAATGCCGCCGTACGACATAAGCAGCATCATGGCTTGTGCCATAGCCAACTTGGCGCCAAAGAGGAACATTGAAGCGGCGATCGCAGCGCAAAGCGTACGGTCAAGCCAGATATAGCTCTTGATAGACAGGAGCGGCAGCAGGAGAAGTAGACTCGAAAAGAACACGGTCAGAAAGTGGAAAATGTTGGAGAAGTGCGTGGGCAGCTTGGCCAGCCATGATACACGCATGATTCTAGCGATACGTGCGTGGTTCTTAAGGCCGTATGCTGACACAGCAGTGCTAGTGATGGCGGCGAAGGCGGCCCAGTCTACTTCACCCGCCGAAACGCGTTCGTGGATATGCTCATGGTGCGGCTCATGGCCACCCTTGGTCTCCAACCAGTGCTTGAGGTTATGCGACACGAGGTCGAAGCCGCCGAACAAGAGGAATATGGACATGGCGAAGCCGGCGAGAACCTCGGCTCTCTCAAGCCCGAAGGGATGCCGAATACTGCTGCGGCGCCAGACCTCGAAGTTGCCAAGAACATCGACAGCGACACAGACGGCGGCACTACCAGCGTCGAAGAAGACGAGGTGGGACAATGCCATCATAGCGAGAGAGCCTTCCGAGATGAAGAAGAGCCACGACGCAACGGTAAGATGGCACAGACTCCAGTAAAGCCTTACGCGCTGGTCGCGGGACATGCTTTTCCATGCTTCTCGAACCGTAGGTACAGGAAGGGAGGCCGGGAGGACGGGCGGCGGTCGCTGAGGGGGCTCCTGGAAGATCTGATGTTGGGTCGAAATAGAACTGTGCTTGTATCGATGGCCACGGCGCTGTCCAATGTTCTGCGATGCGCCATTGTCAGCGGTCAATTGGTGAGTAGCGGAAGACAGGGACGCGCGCATCATCATCATTTCACGATTTCATGTTTGAACATACCGACTTGACAGGCGAGGTCGAGATGGCCTGCGTCTGAAAGTTAAACGGGCCCGGGACGGTCGAGCCCCCAGCAGAGGGAGGGTCGTCGTCGGCCATGGCTGGCGTTCCTGTGTCTGGTCGAAGCAAGCCGCGTTTCAGATCAGCGGGAGCAAGAAGTCCAGGGCTGCCTGAAAGTGTCGACGCGACTCGAGGGGGGTGGGGGGTGCTACGGTCGTAGCCGAGGTCCTCGTTGTTGTCGTCGTCGTCGACTGTTATAGATGGGAAGGCAAGATCAGGAGGGGGACTGCCGACATGGGTTGTTGATGTCGATGCGTTATCACCTCCGCCGTAACCGCTTTTGGGGCTCAGTGGGGTGAAGGTTGCAGCAGGTCTTCTTGGAATTAGAGGGGCGGAGGATGAAGTTAGGCCGGGTGCAGCAGGGCTGGAATCCATGGAACCTCTTTATGTTTCTCCCCAGCAACCTGTGACATTTCCCGGGCAGCAGTGACCGGTCAGAACGGTGTTTACGACAATATCAATGGCGATGATGTCCGAAAACGGCTGGCATTTAATGTTTGTACGCGCGCGAGAGGCTTAAGGTAGTAGGGGATTGGCTACTGTAGGTTCGTGTAAATCCTGAGGTGTGTGGTTTGCAAGACAAAACAACACTGGGGATGAGATGGGATGAGATGGGACGAGATGTGCAACAAACAATCTGAAGGTTAGGATTCCAGATTGGAGCCACAAAGAGGTACTCCCGAGGAGGCAGGTAGTTACAGCGAAAGACGGGACGGTCTGTCTCCCCACGCATTCGCATACTGCTTAGTTACATGGGACTCTCAGGATTATGCTCCTATGCTGGACATGTGCCTTTACAGGTGCATTGCTGTGGGTACCAGCACCCACTTTCCGCAGTAAATGCTGTGTCCCGTAGCGGAAGCGACATTGATTTTACCGTGTATTGGGCTAACCACGTCACAACGCAGGGTCCTACATCTTTTACCTATTTGCAGTTAGCGCCCCTCGACGTTAACCCGGTCATCCACCAAACTTAGCCTGCAGCTCTTCCAGGTCTGATAATTCTCCAATCGGGCGAGGTTGCTAGCTTCAACTTCACAAATTGTTACTTTGTTTCGTTTTGTAAATTCAGGGCGGGCCATGTGGGATGAAGTCCCAATCAGTGGACATCTTGAACACCGTCACAAGTCTCTGGCCCGAAGTGTAGGCTGCTCACCCCACCCATCCCTACCGACCCGATCCACTCTGCAACGGGACCAAGCTGTTGCGATAAGGGATTATCGCAGTTCAAACAAACGCAATGGACCGCACCACCACCGCGGCTGGCGGCGATGACGCTGCCACCGAAAGCCTCGTAGACATGACGAAGACAGCCTCACCGAAATCATTCTTAGAGCATCAGCACCACATACCCCAGAATCACCGACACCCGGCACCGCCATCGATTCCCCATCGACGCACCTCGTCGGGCGCAAACTTCTTCTCCAAGCTTCCCTTCGTGCGCTCCCTCTCTGATGGCAAACAACAACAACAACAACAGCAGGACTACCAAAATCATCAGAATCAAGACGTTGAAGAAGACGCTTCTCGCTCCCCGTCGACATCCATGTCGACGTTGACCCAGCAGCAGCAGCAAAAGTCGCGACGGAGAAAGGGGTCCCTTAGGAAGGTGGCCTTGCTGGGGAGGGGCGCGCAAAGGGAACGCAAGGAGGCTAAGCAGCTCACCATTGACACATCATACAGCATCTCTCGCAACATGGACGGCGCCGCATCCCGATCAAACGCGAGCCTTGAGCAGGACCCTCTCGGGCTTAATATATCGGACCTGACGCCGCGTCCTTCAATGGAGGGATACGCAAGCAGGTCGAGCGTCGCGGATTCCTCTGTACCGCCGTCGACAAGTCCTCCGCGTTCCAACGAGACGGAACCTGGCATCACTAGTCCCACAATATCCTACACCTCTACGACGGACGAAGACGATGTATTGCACATACCAAACCATATCCCTTCTCCGTTAGGGCCAGACTTGTCGCTGTCGTCGGGCTCCGATTCATACTTCAAGAACCGCTCAAGACGGCGGTCTATACTACAGGCCAAGTCACCGCTTTCATACAGTGGGCTCTCCACGACGCCGTTACCCCCCAACGATGTGGAATGGGATTACTCGGAGACGGAGTGGTGGGGTTGGGTCGTCCTGGTTGCAACTTGGATCGTGTTTGTTATTGGCATGGGCTCGGTCCTGGGAATCTGGAGCTGGGCTTGGGACGTCGGGACGACGCCGTACGCTCCCCCGGAGCTCGAGGATGACCCGACGCTGCCCATTGTGGGCTACTATCCAGCTCTCATGATTCTCACATGTATCATGGCTTGGGTGTGGGTTGTCGTGGCGTGGGTGGGCATGAAGTATTTTCGCCATGCTAAGATCAGCGGGGAGTAAAGAAGGAATGGCTTTCGATTGGGCGCTTTGCTTACGATACTCGATTGGCGTCTTTTTGGACGAGCATACTTCAGCGCGGGCGTCCATATAGGAGTGGCGCCGCCGCGATCACTTGTTTGGTGTTGGTTATGGGGGTTAAAAGGGTGTTACAAAGCAAGCGAGCGTACGGATGCTTGGGTTTACTCTTGTTTGGTAGGCGTATGGGAAAAGCTAGTATAGTTGTCACGAAGAAACAAACAACAGAAGCCTTTGGTATTTCTAACGGATCTTCACCAATCTCGGTTCAACGCAGGGTTCATTCATCGGCCGCAGGCGCCGGCGCTTGATCGGGACTTGATGACAGGCCTGCAGAACAACGATAGATCCAGCATCGATGGAGCGCCATGCCTAGCATCCCGGATGCTGGCACGCAGCACCGTGACAGCCAGTAGACAAACCATGACACTGCTCCCCGATGAGCGTGTGTAGCTGTCAGACGGCGGAAACGGCCGTCGGTCGGCATGCTAACAAGTCTGCGTTGCTGGAAAGGCGAAGCTGGGGCTGGAAGCGAGGTTGGAAGTATCCACCTTCTGTGCGTAATCATCAAGGGGCTGGGTTGTTGCAGCTTTGCTGGGCCCCTCTTTTTCTTTTCTCCCCCATTCATCTCTTGTCAACCTTTCGGGCGGAGAACAAGGGTCCACGGACCGCACTTTTACAAGATTTCGGGGTGGGGGTTGACGTGGTTGGCTTGGGGGCCCCCTTCGGTATTGCTGCTGGCGAGTCAATGTCAGGTGATGCTAGGGACGTAGTGGTCCGGCTAAACTGCCTGTGGAGTGGCGTACTAGGAGCGTAGAGCAAGGTAAACGAGTGTCGAGATATATTCTGGCGTATGCATCAACGCAGACCGTCTAGTCGGACACGTCGAGGTTGGACTGGGTTGGGTCAGGATGGTGTAAGTTGCTTAGAGCTTATGACGACGGTGATGACGACAATATCCCAAATCGATATTTCTACAAATTTTACTGTTCAAGAACGCGTGTGACTGTACAGGTTCTTCTTCATGGACTACAGACAAAGGGGGGTAGGACGAAGGCTCGGTGCGTCCTTGTCAAGACATGCCATGTCGAACAGCTATATTAGTGGCATAGCATAGGAATCATACCAAGTACTGAGAGTGACAGCCGACGACCATAGTAGTTTGGATTCTTGTGTAGGCCAAGTTGGATCGGCAGAAAGGTGAGACGTCTTCAACTGGAGCTCAGTTGCTCTCTGCAATGAATGTGGAGCGTCTGAGTGGGCCGCGTGCACGATATGATGTTCAGCCAGGAGAAGTAGTGGCTGGTGCCAGCCAGATGATCTGGTGCGTTGGCATAGTAAGCAGATTGCGACTGGCTGCGAGATGCTTTCAGTCCAGTAAGCCGGGGTCGACACATCACGATGCACCCGGATGGACAACTTGAACGGAGCTGGGGGGAGGGTCTGTGTGAAGTCACGGACACTCTCTACTAGTTTCCTCGAGAGGGAGAGCTGGCGAATAGCGGCAGGTAGATGACAAAAAAAAAAATCAAAAAAAAAAAAAATCAAAATCAAAAGGGAAGGCGAGAGAGGTCGGGGTGGAGGGGAGAGTCTAGGCCTCTGGCCCTAGTGAAATTCGGAGAAGTGCGAATGGATGGGAGCAGGGGAGCGAGCTCTGCAGGTCGATGTAAGCGCTGTTGAGAATTGAGATGGCAGAGGCGGCAAGGAAAAGGGAGAAAATGGACGACGGGTCCCCGCACGACCAATCAGCAGCAGCCCAGACCCCATTACAAGTCGGCCTCGCTTCAGATAGCAGCACCTTGCAACGAGGAAGCAGGATGCTCGTGCGCCATTTGCATCGCTGGATGATGACTTGCGCATCTCGCGTAAAACGAGTAGTTGGGGTAGTCGGTATGTGGGGTCGTTGGCTGGGTTCGGCGGCAAGCGTTGATTGACCAAAAAACAACGCTTCGTTGTTGTTGTTGTTTTTGTTGGTGCTTTTTTTTTTTTTTTTTTTGAGCTTCTCAGTGGACTAGTCAGCCGCCCGAGCATTGTTCGACCTCGTGGCAAATGAGCGAGAAAATACCCAAAACAAACAAACAGCCAACCAGCCAAAGAAAATAAATCCGGAAAGAAGGATTCTGCATGCAGAAGCCTAGCGGCAGCGGCAGCGGCAAAGCGCTTACTACGCTCCAATCGCAAACAGCGGGAAAGACAGGCAGAGCAAGACTCGGAAAAGCCGGTTGTGTCTTGGTACAACCGCTCTTGCCGCTGCCAAAGCAAGAGAATAGAAACTGCACTGCGTTGCATCGCGCAAGCTTTGGTCAGTGCATGTCGATAGTTTCCGGCGGCCGAGCCCTGCCCATTTGGCCATACACAAACTAAATTAGTATGGTTCGGAGATGTTCCGCCAAGGGGACCAGGACTAATGTGATTCAATGTGACCAAGACGGCTGAGGTGGGGAACAACAGTTTCGGGGCTGGAAAGGTCGGAGGGCCTTGTGATCGTCTTTGTCCGACCACGAATGGAGCACATTTTGCCAATGCTGCCTGGGGCTTAGTGTACATGCTGTTTTTTTTTTGTTATGGACAGAACGTCTGCTATCTACCTCAGATGTTGTGGCTGAAGAGGAGCAGCAGATGGCGAGTGCCGTTGCTCCTGACATACCTACCTATGTAGGCAGGTGGATAGAAAATGGAAAGAAGGAATTGAGCTGCAGTGATTGAATCTCCCCTGTCCACGTTAGGTCGTAAAACGTGCGCAAGTGTGAGATGGGGATTGAGATTGGGGATTGGGGATTAGGGATCGGGGATTGATACACGGTTTTGTCTGTGCCCATGCAGTGCGTCCGCCCTCCGTCACAGCATGACCTCACAGCTCCTTCGGGGCACGGCAAAGGCCCAGAGTACCAATACAGTGGCAGAACATGGGCTGCGACAAGGCTCCCGAGCAAGAGACAGAACGACGCCCACTACGCAAACGGCGCTCTACGGAATGCGCAAGAGGACCGTTGGATCTGGGGCAAGTGCCATTTGCTGACGATTGCTAAAGATAAATGGCGCGCCATTCCATCCAGCTTCTACTGAAGCATTCCGGCTCGACTCTGCAAGCACCACGGACACGGGACCAGGAGAGGGAGACACGACACCACGACGCAAGGGATGCAGAAGCATGAATGACACTTGTTAACACGGCCCGTGGTCCCTTTTCCGAAGCATGCATGCCATGCCAAGCCTAGCTTGATGACCACGGTTGTCGCGACGGATGGTGATAATGGCAATCCGACAGTCTAGGAGAGAAAAGCAGAGGATTTCGTTCAACAAAACACCGTAGAATGGTAAAACTGCTGGACTGCATCAAGGTATAACGATAACGGTATTGGCGCTGGACGCCCATGTTGAGGCTTCGGAGACGGGAGTATCCTTGTATGCCATGGATGAGACCATCATCCCTTCCTGTGCCCGAATGGAAGATGCCGGATGGAAAGCATTGTGGTACGTACATGCCGTACCTACCGGGTAGTTTTCCTAGGTAGGTACCTCCTACTATTATACAGAGCGAGCACACAGGCTTTGGCGTGTTTTTGGGCCTAGAGAGATAAGGATGGCGTACCAACAACAGGTGGTGGTGCGAACGGTCGCCGCATGTCAGCCCATCGTCACCCTCACAAGTTGCAACCAGGTCCTGATCAAACTCGGAAGAAAAGTCACTGAGAGACCGGTGACCCTGACGTAAAGCTATCGGGCTAGCCACCTCATGGCTCGGAAGTTTGTTGACCTGCCGGAGAGGCCACAAGCCTCCATCGACGGGCCAGCTTTGATCTTAGCAAGGGCACGGGATCGTTAGACGACACATGCAATATGCGGCCATTCATGCAGCTGCGCGCAAGCTCGCCTTACCCAAAGCCAGCCGCCAACCTCGCACCGTCCCGGATGGATCACTCGGCTCCCTTCGCTTCTCGATCTTCGATGGTTGTTCCATGAGCTCCGTCAGCTGTTTTGGATTAAGCGCTTGCGGCCGTGACTTGATCTTTACTATGTCAAGCCTCTCAATGCAGGTAACAAATTCTAGCAATGCGTCGCAATCGGCACAGACAGCCCACGAATTTACATGTGGTGGATGCGATCCGTCCGCCGCCGCTTCAGTGGAGATTTTACTCGGGGCGTTCAAGGATAACTCGGGTAGGTAGGTACCTAGGGTAGTTGGGTACCTACTCCGTGGTTTACGTGCAGAAAGACCGGTCGGGGCCTGCTAGAATGCCATCCCTGGAATTGGTACATCAGCGAAATAAGCAAATGACCTGAAGCGACGGCACGAGAAGTTGTGGACGCGGCAAGGACGACGCTAGAAGCCGCCGTAAGTGGCTGGTAACTTTCAAAGACGACAAGGAAATCCGAGTCGACTCAAGGAACAAAGAGGAAATGTGAAAGTGAAAGACAGGCGAGCAGTCCCTGAAGTGAAGAAGGCGGACGGCGGGCGGCGGCGTGTCCCAGGCACCCGGAAAAGAGAGCGTCAAAAGACGGTGAAGAAATGGGAGCGGGAGCTAGGGGAGCAAAACGTGACCACCCCCTTGGGCGACGAAAGAAGCGATTCTGGAGCAGAACCCTTGCTCCTCCTTCGCTGTAGTGACCCAGTGTTAGGCGCCAAGACCCAGCCAGGGCCGCACGCAGCCGATTGTGCGGGTGCGAAATCGTGGACGACGCGACCGGTACCCGGTGGCTTTCCCGATGCGTACCTCTGGTTTTGGTCTTAATCTGTTCTGCCCTGGGACTATAGTAAGAACTTCAAATGCCTAGACGGGTACCCAGGTTGGTAGGTAGGCCATGCTTCATAGGTAGGTACTTTCAAGCCAAGAGATTCCTAGGTAGGTAGATGTCGGCAACAACTTAAGCTGAGCTGGCAACAGCAGCTGGGTACTGTACTGGCTTTCCGTCAGCAAGGAATGGCTACCTAGACAGAACGAAACGTCAGGTGTCGCTCTCTCAACAGCGGCCAGTAGCAGAGGTAACAACAACACGCCTACTGCTTGACAAGATTGAGAATATTTATTGCAGATGAGTCGATGGCGGAAAGGTAAGGCAAAACAATCCAGCAAACTTTTCAAACCACAAATCAAAGAGGGTATAATGAGAAGGGAGAGGGAGGAAACTTGAAGGAATACAATCATTCAATGGCAAGCCCATCAATGATTGGATCGGTCCGTTAGGCTTGGGCTACAGCGGCGTCCAAGATTAATGGTCGTCGCCACTCATCTTTTCATAGCAGGCTGCCATGATCCCGAGAGGAGAGACAGACCCGGGACCTTGAAGTCGTCGAAGCCCCTGAGAATCCCGCCCCCTTCCCCCGACTGGGCGTGTTGCGGCGGCCTTTCCAGTAGCCGTCCTCAGTATCCTCCTCCTGCCACTGATTCCTTAGTACATAAGGTAGGTACCTAGGTACCTAGGCCGTGTCCCAGCCCGCCTGTGTGTGCTGGACCAAACGGCCTACTTCGAGCCCTGTGGTCTTCGGCCTGTGTGCCGTGTGTCGCCCAGTGCGTTGGTTGTTCGCTGACTAGGAAGGTATGCCCTGTGACGAACGAGGTTGCGCCCTGTACGGGTTTTCCTTTCCTTTGCTGCTGGGTTCCAACTGTGTGTTGTTGCGGAT